CGAATTAGAAACAAAGCGTTTAAACAAATGAGTGATTTTGGATGTCCTCGCCGCGGACAACAATCATTTCGGTCCTGGCCAGAAAATTATGAAAAATGGCGAGAAGCAAGCGAATGAGACCTGAAACTGAAATAAAAACGATTAGATGAGCATACTTCACGTTTCACAGTTTTTCTGAGGCACAGCATATATGGCAGAAGGATCAGGACTATTAACCGGCACAGTGCTGATACCACCCACTTCATCTCCTTTGCCAAGTGTGGATGCGTTGTACAATATATCATTGCTCAGGGAGATGGCTGGTTCTGCATATATGTTAGGATCTGTGTCTGTATTAGGCTGGTCAGCCCCTTGACTGGAGACTGTGTCCTGTGGGTTCATGTAATCGCCGTGGCTGTCCTTCAATACTTTGAATACCCTATATGGCAGAGGCTTTGGGACTTGAGACGGAGACACACATCTTTGTGTGTCTGACTCGGCCGGTGTCGATGTGTATGTGGCTGGAAGGGATAAGCGAGATGACTGCGGGTTGGTGCTGGTAGTGGTGGTTGTGGTATCGTGGCATACTACTGGTGTTGCGTCACTCCGACCACGGAGTTTTTTGCGCTCCACATCATCTGGATCGATAGACTTCTCCTGGTTATGTACGGCGGATTGTGCGGACTTCGATAAGACGTTAAGTGATGTTTCGTCCGTAGCACGACATATGTGGTCGATTGAATTTGTAGTACGGGGTACGTCGTCATGCTTAGTAACCGTGTACTCATCTGCCTTTTCGTAATTTCTGCAAACATCTGTCGTATTCCGCTTGTGAGGAACTGAGTAGCAGACAGTTGGAGCTGAGCTTTCTTCACATCCGGCTGCCTGTGTTCCGTTGTTTGCCGGATTTGACTTGACTTCCTGAGCTGGTTGATCAAACATTGACTTCACACTAGCGTATGGCTCACCAGCATCTTTCTGCTTCGTTTCCGTATTGACAGAACTCGTCGGAGCAGCACCATAACAAGTAGCATGCGTGTACGACACATTCACTGTAACACGGTCGTCACGAGCAGCAGCTATACCAGGAGGCGTCTGGGGACGGTTGGTTGGATTGCCGTACCCAGGTCCAACAGACGAATACAGCCCACGATCCCTCAGTTCGGCCGCAGGACTCTGGTCAACGCGGTCAGTACCATCGTGATTCTGGTAAAACTGATTTCTCGGGTCTGGCATATTTTTGGGGATGGTTGATCTACGAACAGCAATAATCCACGGATGACTGCTCTTGGAGAGAAAGATTCCTGACCTAACCAATAACAGCAGAATGAAAACGCCTAGCAGAACAGCCAGTAAAACCAGGGGAATAACAATGCTAGTTACTAAACTAAATCCACCCGAGTCACTGTCAAGTTGTTCAATGTTGCTTGTTGTTGAAGCAGATGGCTTGGTCTGAGGAATAGAGGTGCCCGTTGCGCTAGTTGACTCCACCAGTAAAGTGGTCTCGGCTGTAGTGGTTACCGCAGAATGAGTTGTGCCCTCGGTGGAACTTGAGTCCACTGAGCCAGTGGTCGCAACCGGAGTTGGTACTGTAGAAGCTTGGCGTGGGGGTATAGCAGTATTCGTGAAAGTGCTTGCTGAACTAGACGTTGGAATAACTGCAGAGAACACCAAGCGTTGCGAAGAGACTGAAGGTTATGTGATAAAGCGACTGCAGATAAACTACACACACGCCATAGACGTACGAAGCACCATGAACTACAACTGTCAAGACAGATAGTTATGTGCTGCACACATAATTATAGAGAAAGAGAAAGAGAGAGAAACAAGAAGAGAGAGAGACAAGGAGAGAGAAAAAGAGAGAGTTGAAAAAAGACCCGGTGATTAATCACATGACGAAGGAATAAGATCAGATCAAAAGGAACTACTTCGAGTAACATGTATGTTGGGCACAGGGCAACTCTATTGGATGGTAGGCTGCGGTCTGACCTTCAACCCACCTGGTGGGCACAGTGCACACCGACATGAGAATTTTCAAGAATATTCCTCAGCAGTTCTTAGTAAAAAACGGTTGGGGACTTCCATAATTCAATTGCTTACCCTGTCCAATGATGATCAGTCCTCTTGCTCCTTTGTGGTCGACTTTATATAATTGACAATAATTAGATATCCCTGGGGAAATCGTGATCAGGAACCTGCTCGTATTATTGCTTGTCATGAACCCGTGAAGCGATTCGGACGCGGCGTTCGTCAGGCTCACGTTTCTACGATTCCAGGTACTTGTCAGCAGATCTGAAAATTGAAGCATATCAAGAACTCTGTCATCGCTTCCATAACTCACTGATACAGAGCATGTTCCCGAGTACAGAAGAGAAATAGCCTTGAATGATACATCGCATGGTGATGTGAAGATGAACGGCTTCTTGTAGAGGTTTCCACCAGGCCTGACATGTATAGTAGTAGGATCACTCGCTGGCTGGACATATACAGTGTCGCCATGGTCATGTATTTTTCCATCTTCTGGTTGGCAGTTTCGCAATATGAAACCAAGAGATCCAGAGCCACACAGACCTGTAGTCATGATATAATAATGAAAAAGTAGCGAGTGAGCAGCACTATCTTTATACTTCGAAGTACATGAACCTAGCACTGTCTTAGGCTACAGACAAACAGAATATTAGTTGATACGGGCCAGTCGAAATTTCTTTCTTGCCTTTATTTGTCATCTGGCTCTTTCAATTCCACTGATGATCATCTTGCGCGACTCCAAGAACTCAGAGAAATCTTTCTGGGGCTAGTTTGCTTTCTCTTGTGTTAATGAGGCACACTGTGCATTGTTCGAGTAATCTGCATCCACACGTTCATATTTTTTATCTTTTCTAGCGGCTAAAGAAAACTAGACCAAGTCATTCCTAGGGTTCCCAGTAAAAAGGCAACGCCTGTAGGGAGTTCCCTAGTAAAATAATAAATTCTACTACTACTACTACTGTAATCCGAAACTACATGCATGACTTACTGATAGCGATTAGCAGGGCGCTGGTGCCGTGAAGAACCCTGGCGATCATGTTACTCTCGATGGTCTCTTTGGTATCGATCTCAATCCAATGCACAGATAGGGTAAAGCCTGCGACTCTCACCCTGAACTATTTTATGTAATATTATTGCTACCGACAACAAAGTAAACTGAACAAGTCTGTGTCATGCAGATCAATGCTAGGACGGCAGGGGACCAGTCTATTTCTACAAATGTGTCTAAAACACTAATCCCTAGTCCAAGAACTGAAGCAACACCAGTAGCTTGAAGAGGCCCAAGTAGCAGAAAGCACCATCTGTTTACAATCCGCAGGGCTGGCGTCTTTCGGCTCACCACCTGCATTGCGACACGCTTCACTGTGATTGTTGGCTAAAATGCACGAGTGTACCAGCCGCTAGGAGTATCTCATGCGGGTCTGGCAGCAGTCCTCCTAGAGTCATTTGGGGAGGCAGCATTGATTTGCGCATGTTTTGGAAGCCCTAGCCACGTGAGGCACACTTGGCGCACTTCTGTCTCGTGATGTTTCAAGAAATAGAGGATTAATAACTAGGTGTTACTCTGAGTTTTACACACTAGACGATCATCAAACACCACACCACACCGCTGCGCTCTCCGACCGACCTCAACACGTTGCCAGGGCACACCATCAGCAAAACGACACTTCAGTTGGTACACTGCTCCTTCAGACAGCATCTGTTTCGATCATCAGGATCTCGTCAGTGAAGGTTGATAATGTAAAATGGGTAACAGATAGTGAACTTCATCCTTTTGTAGCAAAAAAAGAAGGAAACATAATGGCGCATCTTAGGGGCAAAAAGGGGGGAAAACATAATGGCACATCCTAGGCGCGAAGATTAGGGCTAAGCAAAGGCGATACAGATAGACTTCACTGAGGATACTAACAATTTAAAGGGTGTTAGTGAGAACAGCTGTTGTCTGAAGAAGCAGAGTACTAACTGAAGTGTCGTGTTGCTGATGGTGAGCTGTGGCAACGTGTAGAGGTCGGCCAGAGAGCGCAGCGGTGCGGTGTGGTGGTTGATAAGACTCTAGACAAGGCCGAATGCTGCTACTTACCCCTTTTGATCAGGCCATCATCAGACAACAGTAATAAGATAAATCTGTTTTTTTTGGTTTATCGATGTAGGACTCAGTGAGCCGTCTCGTCACCATACCCGTCACCAATGAAACAGTCACAAATCCCCGAAGAGCAGTCATAAAGTGCCACACCAGTTTGAATCCCGATGACCAGTCACAAACAGCCGCGACTTTGTCTGTGAATGGTCACAGGATCCAAGTCAGAATGAAATTATTATGACTCAACTGGAGGCATTCATGCGATCAACAAACTGTTTTCCTTCACATGGTTCAGAAGTGAGCAAGAACTCTCGATCTTCGCGTAGTCAACTTGTGGCTCGAGTCAGTTGTGTGTGGGCTCCTCTCCAAAACAAAGGGCGGGTGAACATCTTAGTGGCTTCAGATAGAATCTCTTTTGATAGGACGTTCTGCCTAGTAGATCGTGCTATTCATCACCTTTGAAGAAACAACTTCGTCGTTCAGAAAAGCTATTTCAGAATATTGTCAGTCAAGTATTTTTTTCATGCCGATCTTATTAGAACAGAGACTGATTTCAAATGATCCAACATACCAGCAGTACTTGCTTTGTGGATCCAGAAATGAACACCGTTGACCATACAGAGACGAAAATGTAAAAAAAGATGGCAATGAAAGTATGTTCATCGCCAAGAATGTCCGGAGACATCAGGCACCTTCGTGTGCGTTGCTCTGTCTTTCTTGGGGAGGACTCAACAGAAAAAAACAATGTCCAGCTTGTTGAAACTGAAACTTTCTCTCAGTTGAAATCGTTCAGGGAAGACATCTATTCAAGACTTCATCGATCCATTTCAAGCACCATCGTAAGAAAGTAAATCAAGTCGTGTTAGCCATGAGAATAGCGATGTAGACCGGAGAAGATTGAGTCTCTTGTTTTGACTGCAGGAAACTGCATTTCAATATTGGGGCTCCACGTAATGCTTACACAGTGTATTGCTTTGAACACATCTTCTATTCATTCCTACACCCAGTATAACACTGTAAGATGTGTTGATGTAATATTAAGGTACAAGGTTATCTATAACTTGTATTACAGAACAGAACAACAAGGACAATCAAGGCTTGTTTGCTGCGACTTGAAGTATCATGCTCTCGCAATCATCAGGCAACATGAAGGTTGGGGCTAGTGGTGTTATCTTAGGCAGAAGGCTGTGTGCAGAGTGTATGGTTGTTGAAGGCAGGGCTAGCAGTGCAATGTTAGCGCCGAATGTGTGGCTGGTGTGGGCAGGAGGTGGTGAGCAATGTGTGTGGATGTTGTAGGCAGGAGGCTATAGTATTCAGCTAGCAGTATGATATTAGCGCAGTGTACATGTAAATATATATCTTCCTTTTCTTCTTTTTGCTTGGTTTCTGTTTGAACACTAGCGTTCTAGGGTGGCCGCTGGCGTTGAGGGCCTCCGCATAGATGGGAGTTGCGTCACGGAACACCGCTTCTGAGCAGAAGATGCTCGCCAGTCGATTGTTGATGCCAGGTGGGATGTTATTAAGGACTTGCGGTGGGTGATTGGAGTGAACGTTGACATACAGTGGGGTGTCGTTGGGTTTTCGGTAGTAAAGTACTCTGGCAGGACTGAATTCTCGAACCACGTCTGGAAACTGAAGAAATCCAACACCTCGTACGAAGTTGAATGGAGGATAAAAGATCGCGCCCGAGCATACTCCAACATCACAAAGCTGTGTTCCCTGTGTACCAGAGAACAGTTCCACATCCTGAAAACGCTAGGGTCACCATCCAGCCTCAACAAACGCTTGGAAATGATGTCAAGTGCCGACACGAGAACAAGTATCTCCTAGAATACCACGGTATCACCTAAATATGTCTCCACAGCCTCCTGCCCACACCATTCACCTTCACACACCTTGCTCATAATACCCTGCCCACATCAGCCGTATACATGTACATGTACACTGTGCTAATATCACACTGCTAGCTCTAGACTATAGCCTCCTGCCTACAACATCCACACACATTGCTCACCACCTCCTGCCCACACCAGCCACATGTTCTGCGCTAACATTGCACTGCTTGCCTCTGTCTTCAACAACCACACACTGTGCACACAGTCTGCTGCCTAACATAACACCGCTAACCCCAATCTTCTCCTGGCATATGTACTGGCATGGTCGGCACCCAACCTTCATTTTGCCTGATGATTGCGAGAGCATGAAACTTCAAGTCGCAGCAAACAGGCCTTGATTGTCCTTGTTGGTCTGTTCCGTATTACGCTCTGCCTCCGCCATGGTGTTGAGCACTGTCAGCACTCTGGGTACACCCTCCGGTATAAGGTGTATTATAACATTTGCAAATAGTGCATGCATACGAGCACTGTGTACCGTTTACTGTCTTCTTGCCGGTGTTTTTGGGCGAGCCTCATCACCTTCATTTGTCCATTACGTATTTTCCTTCTACATATTAATTTTTGGAAATATTCACTCACTATAACTTCTTGTGATTGCTGGTGCAAATGTAGCCTGCTATGCCTGTTTATTGGTGAGAGCCCACCAGACGTGTAAGTCGATATGGATATCTGACCAGATGTTCTTGAACTGGCATTCTGCTTTGAAAAGAACTTTGTTTAGATAAGGTTTTAAAATTGGGTGCTGAATGGCCTGGAGGAACTACCGGTAATACTGTTTGCGATCAGTATCACCAAGGGTACGGTTCTTCCGTTTGCGCATCACTTCTTGGCTTCAGGATTGTGTGAAAAGAGATGTGCTTGAATAATAATAATAATAATACAGAACTACCTTCATTCTGCCTGTGACTACTCACAGGGAAATATTGGTCACAAATACATGTCGCATGTGACTGTTCGCATGGAATTATAGTGATCACAACTGTCTTCTACCCGTGACCGCTCATAGGGAATGATAGTTTCCACAACAAATCCTGCATTACGAAGTTCTTCATGAGCAGTCACGAACTGTGTGCTTTACACATGCACATGTATGGTGAATTGTGACTGGTCATGGGGCATTGTAACTTTTGTGAATGTTTGACTGGTCACGGGGACCGTGATTGGTCACTGAGTCCTACATACCGGTATACCCAGAAAGTTAAAGTGTGAATCACAGCAATGCACTTGAAGTAAGTGAGTAAATTATCGTGTCCGCTCCGCAAGGGAACTCACAGAATCGGGCACTTAGGGTTGAAAGAACTGACCCGAAAACGTATCGACTACTTTGGTATAATTTATTCAATGCTAACGACTATATTCAATGCTATCGACTGACTATTGATTGGTTATCCAGTACCATTTCTCATATGCATGGACTATTAGTGCAGTATTGCACATGTATGCTTCCCCACCCATGCACAAGCAAACAGAAGCAGCACTTCACAATGTAGGATTCAAACCAGTGCAATGTGAGCGTGATCTTGTACATGTGAAAAGTAGCGGACATGGGAACAAGTGCAGTCTGTGCAACGGCTCCAGGTTACCAACAAATAAAGTCAAGCTACACAAAGTTTGCGACTACATTGTGGGATTCTGAACGGGGAGAAAATGGAGGCTTTTAAAAGGTGAAGGAAGGCATGTTTGTCAATGTTCTAAATGGAATACAATAGTAAATGTTGTAGAGGTCGAGAGAAGAGTAGGCGTGTGCATGTACTATTGTAGTCGTGTATAATCCCTAAGGCATTGCTAGAACAGCAGGAATCAATAGTTGGTATGAGTGCTGTGGCGAAGGAGAATGCCAGGCAAATAAAGTTGTTGACAGCTGTTCGGAGGGACAGAGAAAGCGCACTCTCGGAATGCATTCATTACAAAACAATGTGTGAGAGCGGAACGTGTACAAGTATGCTGTGCATGCAGTGTGTGGTATGTACTAAGGTCAGGCATGCGTTTAGGCTCAAGTGGTGCAGCGCAGGTCGGTGTAGTGCTAGTCAACTGACTGTTGTTGTTACAATGTACATGCGTGTAATCTAGTAGAGGTGAAGAGGCGCTACACATGTATGTTTTAGCGTTCAAGAGGACATATTTGCGAGGGTCTTTGCACCATTCCTGTGCTCAGCTGTGAAACCTGTGTGAAGCGTTCTACATAGTACATCCTAAGAGAGCATGTCTGAGAAAACCAGAACATTCGTGCAAATCGATCTCTCAGATTTCGCTCGAATTTTGCAGGTAGGTTTGCCTTGGGGTGTAGATCGACATTCCAAAGCTCGCGCAAAATCTTTTCAAGGGAGCCATGAAATTGGTATGCCCCTCAATATTGGTTTATAGGTCTACAAACGATGTATAGGTCCACAAACGAGCCACGGCACAGCGTACATGAACAAGATACGAACCATTAAGCCAACATTATCTCACCTTCGAAGAGTTCTTGGGGCAGCACCACTTAGCCACGCCAACATCCCATAAGACGAGGGCCATCATCCCTTAACGCCACAAATGATCGTATTGAGAATAGCCAAATGACAAGGTCTGATAAAACAGCGAAGTACGTCCTGAATTAGCAAACAGTATACACTTTGTTCTGCAGCGTTGGGAGTGGTGTTGAAGTCGAAAATCAGACTAGACGTTGCGGATGAGGGAGCTTTCCTGCGCAGGTGTGAGTTTGGACGTATGTCAGCATGGTCGAGTGGAAAAATTAAAAAAACCATTATTTCAAGAAAACCCAAAAAGGATGAGGGGGCAGATGTCCTCAGTGCTAGAAGAGGTGTTCTACTATCTGCCGGTGTATAGTGTTTGCTTAATGAGGACGTAGCTCGCTTTTCTTCAGCGCTTGTATTTTGGCTATTTTTAATTAAGACGATCATTTGTGGCGTCAAGGAATGATGGTCCTCGTCTTTTGGAATGCTGGAGTGGCTAAGCGAGAACTCTTCTAAGGTGAGGTAATGTTGCCTTAATTGAGTATTGTTCGTTTCATTATTCTTGTACGCGGTGGTGTGGCTCGTTTTTAGTCCCATGAATCATGTAAGTGTTCGACCATATTGAGGGGTATACCAATTTTCAAGGTTCCATCAGAACCTTTTCTGCGGGCTTTACCATGTCGATCTTCACCCTAAAGGAAACTGTAAGGTGTCAATAGGTGTTTGTGCCAAACACAGAACTCGTTGTTGCGATGGTACTCGAGAGGAGCGCCAGAACATCTTTTTTTCTCATTGAAAACTGATTGAAGTGAAGTAGAAACTTCAACATTTGTACAGTTGAGCGCTTGTGCGGACGAGAAGCATTTAGGGGTAGGGCTAGATTCAACCAAAACGAGAAGAGCACAGCCAACAAGATATAAGAGATATTAAAAGCCCTTGAAGCAATAGTACTCCGATATCCACAAGATATCGCGGAGAATCACTATGCTGAAAACCCTCTTGTGAATAATACCTGCTAAAACAGCTCGAAAGGAGGCGTGAACTACCTTTATCAAAATGCACAGACTGCGAATATTTCAAATACATCATGTGCATGTATAATTATTAACATTATCTTGTATGCCCACTGCAAAATAAAAGGGAGAGCAGACCGAATAACAACAATTAAAAACGAGGGCGTCGTGCAGGCTGTTAAAAACGTATTGATTTCATCTTTCGAACCTGGTTACACACAAAACATACCATGTCTTTTAGAGCAAGACAAGTTCGCCTAGCTAAATGTACTGGCATTGCGATCAGAGTGACATACATGCATGTTGTGTTGTATCCATTTTGCAAAATGTTGAGATCTACAAAATTATGGGAAAAAACATGCCAGATTTTGTGAAATCCGAATTCCCCTAAAAGAACTCAATGCAACAATTCTTGAATAGCATAGAGAATGGAATGGAATACCTGATATTAACGCCACAACAGTACCGTGCGAGAAAGATGCGCAAGAAGGAAACGACTAGAAGCGTGACAATGATTGTGGCAAAGTATGAATAGTATTCAAACAGGACCTTGAAGTATGAAAAATATTCATATTTTACAAGCATAGTTACAAAAACCCAAGCACATTTACAATGTACACCAAACGTCACTATGCTATCAGTGCACGTGTAGATTCATGTAGAGCTCTTGCTTATCAGCAATGATGCATCGAGATTACTGTATAGTATCATACAAAGAAGGATCTTGTCGAGCTGCCGACGACGTTGTTTCATAGGCTTCATTGCATGTCAGGGATAGGGCGTTACTGCCAGGTGCTCCCACCGTGTTCTGTAAAGCAGCAGTTTGAACGCTCATGTGGGCTGCTTTCGTATATTTTCTCTTCAGCTGAGCTATCAGAATTGAGATCGTGAGTACAGAGACGACTACCACAAGACTGATAGAGATGGCGAAGGTCACAATGGAGACGAATCCACCTTTAGTTAATTTATCATTTGTGTCAAAGTTGGTTGCGTTTGGGTGACGGGTTCGTGGATATACACGCAAAGCAAAGACAGGAGAAAATTACAGTGCGCACATTGACTTGAACAGGCGGCGTGGAGTCAAGAATCCTAGTAATGGTAGAGAAAGTGTACATGCAGTCACACCATGGCATGATTTTGATGTTCTTGCGTCATGGTATGCCTGTGTGCACACCTTTTTTTAGCGTTACACGCATAGAATATCAACAATGACGGGGAAAGCAGGTAGTGAATTTTGCACAAATGGAACAAGGTGTAACCCGATATTCGAAACCCTTCTACAAATCTGGGGGAATTGAGTTCACAACTTCTTCCGAAATACCCCACGGTCTGAAACGATGTCCATACACGGCCCCTATTGCAACATCTGCTTATCACAGCCCAATACATCGAAATGTCACTATGCATTACTTTAATAAAAGATCAGGGCACCAAGTCGGGGGGACTGTCCTAGTAAATTTGAATAGAATTCTCTTCGCATCGGCCTATGTTTTCACTGAGTCTTGGGATGTTGCAATAAATTAATAGTTAAGTAGTTCATGCATTTGTGAATAGGAACTTGTAGAAATTACTCACCGTCACATTGCGACCCAGCATATCCAGGAAGACAGGGACAATGGTATGAGCCGTTCAAATTCTGGCATTGTCTGTTGTCACTATTGACCATTTCGTTGCAGTTGTGTTTGCCATATTGACATTCATCAATGTCTAGATGCCCATTAGATTAAAACCCGTTGCAATGTGTTCGGTACACATGTCCGCATGCCCCACCGACCACAAATGTAAACACGAGCAGGCATAACACACAGAAACAGACGAACACACCGCTGAACCTTTACTAATATGTCATCGTATGGAGACCCTGGCCTTTTCTCAATGTGACCCGGACAGATATGCATCCATGCAGACAGACAAACGAAAAGAAACACAGACAGACAAAGAAACACATACGCTCACATCATCAACACTGCTGAATGTGTAGGGCAGGCAAGCTTTCTGCCCATCTGGTTACTTTAAATCAAGAAATTTAGGTCGGTGAGAAACTTTGGCCGATCTCGAAATGATACTTCTGGCCGATATTTAACTTTGGCAGATTGGAGTTTGCAAAAAGACATCGATCGGAAGCTGTTGCTCTCAAATGTAGCAATGGCTCAATTATGCATCATTTGCTTCTATGACAAACTTTGGACTGACATTTACTTTGGCCGTTTGGTACCAAGCGGCAAAATCAGCGGAATTAAATCACCAGCGAACATCAGATGATTTAGAGTAATACTTTCTTGGAAGCAGCGATTCGGACACACTGCAGTATATTCTGCCTTCCTTCAATGTTGCCCTGTGAAACGTGAGAAGTCCATCTACGTTGTCTTCTTCACCTTCCGTCCAGAATGTATCACGCTCACGAGGACGCATTTTTCTGATCTTTGGTGTTATCAATGCAATTCTACGTGTCATCCTTGTATAGCGCAGGTTTTCTTCACGAAATAAGATATACCAGGTACAGTAGATCATAAAGTGGCCACGACGACGGTAATGACAGCCAAGGCCGCCACCAAATTCAGAATAATCTATGTGAATATGCAGTGCCTAACGGTGGAGGCGAGGGAGCAGCAGGGCTGGAACAACCAATAAAAAGGAAGGACGTGAAAGGATGCACGTTGTTGCTTGGAGTTGAAGAGGTGTTCGCTGCACTGGCCATTGTTGTCGCCGCGAAGATCCTAGCTGTAGCATCAGTGCGGTGGGCCACACGTTCCACTCCATTGTCACCGATCCCAACTATTCTGAAAAGCTCTGCATCCCGCAAGGTCCCGCCGACCTGTCTCCTTGACCGAACTTGATCCTGTGACTCCTGCTGACGTCCAACGTCTCCTTGAGAATTTGGATGCGCGTAAAGCCACAGGTTGTGACGGAATTCCGGGCTCTCTGCTACAGCAGTGTGCTGACTTGTTGGCATATTTTTCTTGCTGTGCTCCTCTGCACCTCGCTGAGGACTGGAACCATTCCATCTGGATTTAAATTGGCGTCTGTCGTGCCACTGAACAAGGCCCCAACTCCTCACCAACTATAGACCTTTATCCCTTATCCCAATAGTACCAAGTTGCTGAAGAGAATAGTACAACACCAGCTACTTCGTCATTTGGACTTGAGCAAGGCACTACCCAAGCCACAATTTACCTTCCGCAAGAAATGTTCTACGGAAATGCCCTCTGTGTGCTGATCGATAATCTGCGAGAGACAGTGGCAAGATCACAAGGCTGTGCCAACTAGACAATTCGAAGGCTTTAGTGATAAAGGGCACCACTACAATTTGATCCGAGACCTGGCTGTTGTAATTTCTGGAATTGTCCTCAATTTGTTCGACGACTACTTGTCCGGCCGCTAGCAGCAGATACTCCTCTCACCTTCAATCAGCCATGCTCTGGATTGCACCTGCGGAGTGCCCACCGGCTCTGTTCTATAGTCTGGCCTCTTCAGTATATAAACACGTGATGTCGGTTTCCTTGCATGTGCCAAGTGTCCAATTTCCAGATGTTATAGCCATGTACGACCCCCAGATCTCAGCGGCGGAAGCGTCCAGAACCCTCACCACAGCGGAAACTGCTCTGGCCGATTGGCCGAAGTCTCGAGGCCTCATCTTGAACGCCGACAAGACGAAGGTTCTGACTATCAATCCCCAACATAATGTACCGGAGATAACAGTCAAAAGCGGCGAGTGTCTCCTCCCTTCAGCATCTTCTGCGCGCTACCTCAGCGTTCACCTTGCCAATCGCCTAAATTGGGACACCCATGTTAACTATGACTGTGGTCACCAAGGTTGCCAAGACAATTGGTGCCCTGTTGCGCCCTTGCCGATGCCTATCAAGACGCTCTCGTCAGGTGTCTGCGAAGGTGGTCATAATGACCGACCTGCTTTATGGCTATTATCAACCGCAATGCGAGAGGATCAACTGAAAGGACTACAAACCGCACGAAACAGTGCCATTTGCTGTATTGATGGCAAAAGCCTCGGACAGCCATGCAGTCGCTCACTCCCTGTACCATGTCAGTCCGCTATAGTGGCAGAAGTATTATGGACCATCTGGCGATGAGTCCACGCCAGCACGAGCCCTGCGCTCGCCCAGCTTCTGACCCCGCACAAGGCACCCCTACCCCCATCAGTAGTCAAATGGCCTACTAAGCCAGGCAAACCGTAGCCCCGCCGGTCAGCGGAGATTTTCTGTTGCTAGTGCTCTGCTGTGGATCGCTCTCCCTGGTGAGGTCGGCACAATTACCCTGCTACCTGAGTTGAAACATGCATGTGAACCATGCGCCTGTAGGGAATAGTTCGAGATACTGCTGATCGCTCTGCTCTCCCTCCCCGAGCAGTTCAGTAATACTCACGTAGTATCACAGATACATCGTATTCTTCCGCCACCCCCCCCCCCGTTTACTCGAGATTATGAGTTTCCTAATCTCTTGCTATGTGCTTCCATTGACTTTACTAAGTTCTTCCATAGCCACTTCAAGGCTAAGCATTTGCAATCATTTTACTGGGTCGTCATCCTGTTTGAATGTGCGAAGCAAAATAAAAAACAATCAACCAACCGTAACAGAAATGGAGCGGCGGTAATCTTAGGATGGTGAAATGCAACAACTGCCAGCGTTCCCGGAGCACAATATTCAATCAAGTGCAACTGAAGAGGAGTGAGTTTCATCCACAAACTGAATATCAATAAGCGATTGGTTCCAGTTTGAATGGTTGCAGGGGACCAAAACAAATCGCCTCAATCGTCCTTCTCTTCCTTTTCTTCACCGCACCATTTCTGTTTAAAAAAAATACTAATTAAAGATAACATGCGAAGGAAAAAATGGCACGAGTTATGAATAACTGTCCACTAACGTCACCAGATCATTATAGCTAGTGCGACAAGAAGGGATGACGCTGTCAAACAGTACTGGGACATTCAACAACCTGACTCCTAACTCTAACACTTGTCTTCTGGCAGACTCAAATCGATAACCTTTCGACTTGGAAGGCTGAGGTTACGAAAGGTCCAAGACTGGAAGGACAATTCAACGAAGAAGAGTCCAAGCAAAGGCCCAAAGCAACGAAGAATTTTCTATCCCGTCAACTTAAGAAGAATAGCTACAAAGAATGCTGCAAGTTGCACGATGATTACAAAACTGAGTTAGTAACTGAGTTAGTAAGACAATTTGAAATACAGGGCTTACTACAACTCGACGACGCAAACGGCGAATTGGGAAAATTGGCGGAAGAAATCTGAAGATCATGCAGCTTACCTATGCATGTAGAACCTGTAAATCCATCCAGACATCGGCAGTAATACGACCCCTCAGTATTCACACATTTTCTGTTTCCAGGATTATCCAGTCCATGACAGGTGTACGTGCCATTGGCACATTCGTTTATATCTGAATGCAAAGCATCGTAAAGTACCAGTATGTTGAATTTTGAAATCTATTTCTAACATTGTAGAAGATTGAAAAGAACTGGGGTACAAAATCTTTAAGGTTGCGCATGACTTCCATTCAAAAAAGCGGATTTTTTAATGACGATATATTTCAACTATTAAAATTTGGTAGATGAAAATTTCAAGATATGCCTAAGATATAAGCTCGTATAGCCACTGAAACATATTTTTTTCAATGGATGCTTTCTTTCCAGGTCTTTAGCGGCAAAGAACGCTATCATATTCCTTCCTGGCATTGTTGGCGGCAGGGAAGGAGTTGGGGGCGACGTCACCACAATTCCTGGAATATCGTTTGTACAATATTCAAATGTTTCCTTAGAAGCCCTTAAAAAGGTAATTGGCTACATAAGCTAACAATGCGTTCGAAGTTAACCCTTTATGTACTGAAAAAAATGTACGCAGACTGAATTCGATCTCGACTCGCCTCAAATTCCATAATTCTCCGGGTCATAACTTTGGTCTCCTTTTGACGATTTTTTCAATCTTGAGCTTCCTGGAAAGCTCGTCACTAGAGGAACACATTGAGCTCGCACTTGCCACCACGAAGGTCAAAACCCCAGCGCTACAGCCCAGCGTCTTGGTTGCAACGCCAATATTCCGACAGAAGTCGTCTTGTATCAGCCATTTCGCTCTCCTTGCTTGTAACAACTAATTTTTACTTCCAAAAAAATTTCACAATCTGCCACGGGTCCGTTTGCCATTTTGAATGTGTTTCTACGTCACTGGATGCCCAGAAAGATGGGGAAATCCCTTATTCAAATCTGCGCCCGCGGCTATTGAGCGACAATTGCCGCGATTTGACTTTCGAGCTTCGTAACTCTGGAACCGCACATCGGAGTGTTTCTGCGATTGTTTCAATGGACAGCTGGGCGTTTTCTCTTCGACCTACATAATTTAGGTTTTGGAAATACCCCAGAAATGACTGAGTTACGATCGATTGAAAATTTGAAAAGTTTCGATCCCAGGGGATCGAAAGTTGTACAGTCCGTACACAAAGGGTTAACATCAAGAGAAGACCACAGGATTTCATTTGCTGTATAGAGTGTTGAGTTGAACTGGGATGGCGAGCGAATTTAATTATGGTGAAAATGGATATAAAATCATGAAACTCGGAGTAAAAACACTTTCTCTGTCCTCCTATGGTTTGAACCAGCTCTACTACTCGGTATTGAGCATTGTCTTGGACAGATTGGAACCTGTCTGTTTTAAAAATGGTATAGAGTGTTTCACATATTTGTTATGCGACTTGATTTCTGCACAAAGTGCAAAGTGATCATGCATACCGCTCATGTCACGTGGACAGTGGACCCAATAATAATGACCCAAAGAGAACAGGATGTGGTTTATAAGCAACAAAATCTATGGTAAAAAATCCCATATCAATTAGAAAATGTATCTCTTGACTTACCTTCACACACTTCGCTATGTCCACCAAATCCTGTGTTACATTCGCAAGCAAAGGATCCGTAACTGTTATGGCATTTTCCTACTCCTGGTTTGTCACAATTGTTCAAGCCGGGTATATTACATTCATCAATATCTGTATTGAGAGCAATTGCAAGGAAGAGAAGCGTTTGGCTGTTATTTAAGGGTTATGGCAGACGAAACAGGACGCAAAACTAGGTATAGTCACAAGATCTGAGCTTATTCTTGTTAACCATAGTTCGGTCATTCCAAAAGTTTGACTCGCGCGGTGTCAAATGACCCCTTTGGCTGTTCTAGGGTTAAAATGGAGTATGGGTAAGCGATGAACGCCAACCGTTTTGGGCGACACATCACATGTGTTTCCGTGGGTGGTTGTTTCTAATCTTTGATGGCAGGTTGCCAGTACAAGGACTCGTCCAAATTTCAATTAGTATCACGAAAGAAATAGGAGTTCACTCACCTACGTCACACTTCCTTCCCGTCATACCTGGTTGACAAACACATACCGAGGACTGTTGTGTTGTGTTGAACACACATTCTCCAGCAACGGAGCAAGGTAGATGACTTGTTAAGTCTGTTGTGGGGCATGATGGCGTTCGACCTGCAATGTGATTTCAGTGAGCACAGACCATATGCAACGTTGGGAACATTGCCATGCAACGAATCCAAATGCATGAATGCATTATGGATAGGTGACATCCGTGTCCCGGTTTCCAATTGTCCCACCTTGCATTAACGTAGTAAAAATTGATTGAGAAACTTGTTCGACTTTGCAGAGTGAATGGGAAGAAAGTGAGTCTGGTCTGAAAGCCTTTGATGCTTAATCATGTTTCTGTTTGTATTGTAATTGTGTTTTATTAGTTTGTTCGGGCATTCCAACATACACAATGGTCGCCGTACAGGGGCCCCAGATTAATGAACGTGTTAAGTTCCAGGCGAAAATATCTTGCTATATTGTGTTTGCGTTTGCCCAGACATCTTCTTTTGTATACATTGTACATTGCATACATATCCATTGATAATGCTTTAGTTCGCCAATTGTGCCACTTTAAACTAGAGGTTGGAAAAGTTTATAATTTATTGTCTGCTCACTGACTTGTCAGTTTGCGAACTCTGGCAAGGTACTTTCGGGCCTGGTTTTAATCTGGCTTTGGAAAATGTATTTTTCATTGCTACCAGGTTCGGCCTCATTTCCTCTGTGCTGCGCTGATGAGTCCACAAAGGACGAAACAGTTCTGTCCGCAGATTGAGTAATATATTGTCTGGGATGTTCTCGCACGATCCGCTTCCCAAACCAACCTTACCACCAGTTTACTCATACCTCCTCGTTGATACATGGTCGGTGGCGTGTACGGCATAGCTGGCTGGCACGTCAATCTGTATGCTGTGGGAACCCTAATATCATAAGCGCCATGTTCTGCGAGGCTGGATCCGCAAAAACTACTGCACGGCAAATGAATGTGTATAATGACCTACAGACAGGCCCCTAACCCATCCTTCATGGCTTCCTTCATGCTGGCAACTGTTTCTCTGCAGGTCTCACCTCACATCAGCTCCAGCGCCTTGAGCGTTTACTCAAGCGTGCAGCCGCTGCGTTGTGATTGCTCAATTTGCATCCCCATCTGTCCGTTGTATTGCCAATTGCGCTTGCACGCACTAGATGTTACGCACTGTCACAAACTCCTTCGTTACACTTGCCCAGGCTTTCAAGATAAATGCAGTACATTGTTTACTTATGTGTTTAGTCCTCTCAATGCCGGCCGTGCTACACGCAGTCAGGAAATTCGCCTACTTAAAATGTCCATTCACTAAGACATCCGCTGATACACACTCTACCTTATTCCATTTTGTATCACTGTAGAACAGGCTTCAGCCCAACATCAATAAGATTCCACAGTATCATCGACTCATGCGATCCCTCCCAGTGTATGTTGCCACTGCCCGCTTTATTAATATTCCATTTACTGACGTTTTTAATACTTTATTCCCCACTTTATTCAGTGTGGACATGGATGAAAAGCCAATGCCCATATTACAGTAAAGAAAAGCACCAAGGAACTACAAGTTATGCTATAATGTCAACTAGCACCACCAGTTACTTGCTACGTGCTAGAGCTGACGGCCAGTTAGTTGTAGAACGTCAGTTCTGACCGGAAGTGTTGTGTAATGTTTTCGCACGAGGTTATGGCCAAGGACCAGGTGGTGTTAGTGGACATTATAGCGTTATTAATTTTTTAGTTCTTTGGTCCTTTTCTATATTCAGTATCATTTCCTTTAGTGGCCTTTAATACTTTATATTTATACTTCCTTTGGTTGATATCATGTTATTAAGCAAATTTGCTTTTTTGTTCTTTGGCTCTAAATATACAAACACCAACAAAAACTATGTCCAAACTACGGCCACTATACAGAGCTATGTCAGCCACCAAGCATGGCAGTACGTCTCAGTACTGGCAAGGAAGGGGTAGTAATTGCTAAACCAAGGCGGATTATGCTCAGTATATTGCTGAATAACTCTTTCCATTATGCCAGAATCAAGCCAGTTACTATGCTACATCATGCTGGAATGATGCCGATGATTGTGCTGTAACATGCTGTGGTCAAATGTAATGGTATGGTGAACTCAGTACAAACAGCCCTTGGAGGACTATGCTCCTTATATCGCTGAACTTTTCGTTCCATTATTCCCAAGTCATGCAAGTGAGTATTCTACATTATCCTGGAATAATGCCAAGATGGTGCTATACTGTACCCTTGCACTCGTGTTGGATTTCCACCTTTCAAAAACACTCTGGCACCGTTAAAGCATTTATTATAAGGGGTAATATTCACCAGGTTATTTCCTTTAGCATGCCGAAATATGACTAGAGCATTAATTAATCTTCAGCCCCCGACCATCTGGTTTCAGAAGTCCTTTTATGCCAAGGCATATTTGGTTTAGGAAAAATCGGAAAATGTTCCCAGAAATCATGCCAGCATATTCCGCCAAGGGCTAGTAATTGTTCTTCAGCACGGCAGCCAGGACAGCACGTGGGGCCGCTTTATGTTGGTAAGGTATGGCACTTGGTATGCTAACAGTGGTACGACGCAGTTGGTTACTGTCTATGGTGCAATGTCCATGCAGAAGTGTCAGTATACGTTATTATGGAAAACTGCCATCAACAATAGGTTGTCATTGATCCAACAGATAGATCATACCAGGTTTAGGGTTACTTCACTCGCAGGAAATTTGTATTTCTCGCGAAACATTTTCAGTTTCTGTTGCAAAGATGGCATCTGGTGTGTTCTTTATTGTTGCTTCTTTTCCTGACTTCTTCAGTCAGTTTTGAGTCTCACCAGTGTCCCTGTCCAGTTTCATCTGGCTGCAGCCAACTACCCTTCACTTTGTGTGTTGTCGCAATTGCTGTCTATGTCTCTGGGTTTGCCCGTGTATGTGGAGCGAGAAGTGCAGCAATAACGGGGCCTACTTACTGATGCAGTGTTTAAGGTCAGCTGCAAGCCGCGGTGCGAAACCCAAGACAATACTTAACGTGAATGGCCACAGCTGCTTGACAACTGCCTCATCTAACATTGCTTGAATGGCAGCTGATGTGCTGAGAATGGATAAGGCTCTTGGACGACTGGAGTTGGCGATCAGTAACCATTCAGTCATACAATTGGTATCTTCAGCGACCACCGCAGCTGGTGCATTCATTTACACAACAAAACATATTGGAAATTGAGGAAACTCGGAAATTAGGTAGGCACAGCTCCACTCATTAATGAGTGCATTGCAATGACACGGCTGCTTCAGCACACTCTAGGGCTTATTATGGAGCTGTCTCTAATCCCCACTAGAAATTGTGTACAGTAATGTCTCATCCTTCCACTGGAGTATAATTATTGCCATGTGAAGTTTATTCACCATCCGTAGAGGGCTCAATTTGCTGAGCGAATAACACAGACAGAAGAACGATCAGTTGCTATTTCGTAACTGTTGATCTTCGTCTGATGATTGATTCTGTTAGTGAAACTCAGATTCACGAAACAGCAATTTCCCGTTCTTCTGTAGGAGTATAATAATATTATGTGTACAATAAATGAGGATGCCGAGGATTTAGGACCAATGAAAACTATTCTAAAAACCTCGGGGGACCGAGCTTTTTAAAATAGTTTTTATTGGTCATAAACCCTCGGCATCCTCATTTATTGTATTTAGAATCAACCAGTAAAAACTCCTACTCAATCTCCAAAAAACAAAAATTAGTAGGACAGCTGTTATTTGTGTTTCTGTGACTACTCGTGTGCTGGACGAGTATTTCTTGTCATTGGTTCAATTTCTTTTACTCTTCATAAGCTATCAGATCATTTTCCTTATTCGGTCTATTTATAACCAGTATCTATATGAGAGTGTGGTCTGTCTCCATGGTTACCGGTGTTCTTTTGATAACTACTTCTTTGAAGTATAGCCACTTCTCCTTGTTAGACCTTATCTGGAAGGCCCATTCCTGCATATTCCAACAGCAGCCAAGGGAGATGGGTCCGATCCTAAAAAGCTGTTTTATACTGTTTTTATAAACTGTTGTTATTGGATAGAATATGATTATGTTGAATAAACGAGGCTTGTGACAATTGGAGATTGACTTGGAGTTTTTACGATTTGATTCTAAACTCATGTGATTTCCAAACTAAAGTAGGTCCATAGTGACATAATAACATAATCGAAATGGTAATGGCTTGATGGAATGCACATGACCTTTTTTACCTCACTCTTGCCACTCGAAAAGAAAAGAAAAAACATTACTGACGCACATGAACCTGCTATACTCACAAAGAACATCCTAAACCCTGTATAAAACAATGAAAGAGGACGAAAAAATTGTTTTTACTTCGAGTTTCAAGCCCTAAGCGATCACCAGAAAATAGTAGTGTGTAGCTCTGCCTCTTGGTATTTAGTGCTCTCTTGGACAGCCTGGAACCTCTCTGGTTTTAACCCAATTTAGTATTGTTGGGCCGAATCTAGAAGGCCGCAATTATCCGTAGTATACATGTACATGACATAATAAGATGTCTTACCGTGAGCCTCGAGGACCATTATGGGCAAGTAACCCTTCTTTAGACGCGTTCCCTTGACTCGACACCCTCTTGCGCATTTTGTATTTCTAGTCACCAAGATTCTGATCTGAACTGGACGATGACCTCCATACAATTGAACAGGGCTCATTGTTTCATAGTTTGAGTCCTGAAACACCGGTGTTCCACATCGCAACGAAGATGTCTGGAACAAGGTCATCGAACTATTGGCACCCCCAGGACCGTGATACTTTCTCTCCACTTTCACAGTGCAGCCTCCGACGGTGTTGAGAATGACAGATGTCAGGAAGGCCCTACACTGTGCTTTAAACGTGAGATTAAACCAATTCCGTTCATTGACCAAACTTACGTTGATACTTTGCTCATAGGTCGTCTTGACGGTAAATCTGAGTTGTCCAGACCTAGGCTCGGTCAGGTGCAAATTTCGTAGGTTCGTTACTTTACATGCCGTATGGACTTCCTCGGCAGATGACGCGGAGCATCCAATCAACAGGAAAAGCACTGTGGAGGAGGGAAAACAAAGTATTCCATACGTTTACATGAAAACTAGTGAATAATTTTCATTCATGTACTGTATCGGTGCAATTTTACTTATCTAATTGTGTAGATAAACCTTGTATTGTAGAAACAGGTTTTTAGTTTGACAGTATAATTATTACAAGGCGGTGGAACACCGTGTTCGATAGCAGTGTCCCCTACTAGAACAAAACATGGTTTGTAGAGCCTAGGTCTTGCGACCATTTGAACCGCATGGGTGCCAGACCCGGTTCTGACCCTCATTATACTGGGGGACTTCAGGTTTTCTTCTTATTGTGCCATCGCGTTCGTTAAGAATTTATCTCCTTACTTTTATTTAATACTCTTTCCTTCCTTTTTTCAACTTCTGCCCATGGCGTCTCCCCCTCAGCATGTCAGCTGACAACATGTGTTTGTTACCTTGAACACAGCCCTACTGGAAAACAGATCTATATGGTAGATTATCTATGCAGTAGTACGGATGCGTTTCTGTTCCTGGTGCTTACATCGGACGCCGTCAGATCGTCCCATCGCGTCCCTTCAATCCTTACGTCGAGTCCCGTCGAATGTGAACTAGGCTTAAAGAAAAAAACAGGAGACACCGGATATGCCACCGATGTGAATTTTTATTCCACCAGTGAGGAATGGCTGAAGCAAAGCTTGCCCATCCTCAGCGCGGAACTCGGGGATCGATATTTCACAGTAAACCAGACCAAGACAGAGTTTCTGAATCTAACATCTCCTTCTGACCCCTTGAGGTCGAACTGGTAACTGGGATCCCTCTTAGGCGACAGCAAAAACTCAAGTGCATATGGCAGAATGTACAGGCTGTGGCTGCGGCGCGGAAAAGTAGGTGAGCAGAGGCGTATCAGGCTGTAGAAGGCGCTGCGTCTCCCTCTTCTGCTGTACAATGGTGGAGCATGGGGATCCAAGCAGTTCAGTCAGAATCGCTGAACACATTTCGCGAGACACAGCTACGACTGCTCATTTTCCATATCTATCTGCCCAAGAATTCAAACGCCCTGCGTTATGAGAGGTGCAACATTGAGCCACGGTCTGACATAGTCGACATAAGGAGATTGTACTTCTTTTGAAGTGGTTACCTGGCCATATTCTCAGTATGTAGAGGGACGCACCGCCATGGATCGCGCTGATGGGTTATTTTGAAGAAGACGCTAAGGCTGGGCACAGCCGCCAAGGTCAACGCAAGCGCCGCGTATGAGAAGTGACTTTCAGAGAAGGAGCATTGAGTTGAAGCGGGGCATTCAGCGGCAGAAAGTGAGGACCATCGCTCCAGCTGACCTTCCATGATCTGGGGTCAGAGGCCATCAGCTAACTAAATTTTTTCACATCGGCAATGGAATTCACAATGAATATCACAGAAGCGGAATACAATACTATAATTGTGCTAGCATGATTATGGAATCCAATACACCACACCACCACATTGCGCTCTTGGCCGATCCAATCGCTACACTCACATCACCATCACCACAGCGACGACAATTCCGGTAAATAGATTGATATTGACAGTGACTCTCCAGGCAGCTTTTTCGCTCCTCCTGAGCTCGTCAGTGCATATGATGTTGAATGGGGAATAGGCTGAGGAAGATTGTGCCTGAAGCCTACTCAAGCTCAACTGATGAGGGGTGAATTCCCCGAAACACTGTGTATTGAGCAGGGAGTGGTGCTTTCTTGCAGGTTTGCTTAGTCGAAGGTTCGATGGACTTCTCGTGTGCTCTGGATGGCAGTCGTGAGTCAGTCAAGTGTCAAGTAAAGTCGGCGGAATAGCGCGAGCTCCGGTGTGGGGAGCAAACCATTTCTTACAAATCATCGCCGAAGTCGCAACCACTACTTCGTACTGTTGTGCCCAGCGCGGGCTTGCGACTAGTTGGTTTGGAGGTGACAGCGTTGCGAATGACCGAGGGTCCTCGACGTCTGTCTCACCGTCCAGGAGCGACACTGACTCACGCTGCTATCTGGTGTTCACGAGGTGTTTGTCGCGCTTGAAACGGAGCTTCTCTGTAAGTTTGTATCCCTGGTGATGTTTGTGCCTGGAGAGCACTATATAAGTGGTGCTCTTCAGGCACAATCTTCCTCAGCCTACTCAAGCTCAACTGATGAGGGGTGAATTCCCCGAAACACTGTGTATTGAGCAGGGAGTGGTGCTTTCTTGCAGGTTTGCCGAGTCGAAGGTTCGATGGACTTCTCGTGTGCTCTGGATGGCAGTCGTGAGTCAGTCAAGTGTCAAGTAAAGTCGGCGGAATAGCGCGAGCTCCGGTGTGGGGAGCAAACCATTTCTTACAAATCATCGCCGAAGTCGCAACCACTACTTCGTACTGTTGTGCCCAGCGCGGGCTTGCGACTAGTTGGTTTGGAGGTGACAGCGTTGCGAATGACCGAGGGTCCTCGACGTCTGTCTCACCGTCCAGGAGCGACACTGACTCACGCTGCTATCTGGTGTTCACGAGGTGTTTGTCGCGCTTGAAACGGAGCGTCTCTGTAAGTTTGTATCCCTGGTGATGTTTGTGCCTGGAGAGCACTATATAAGTGGTGCTCTTCAGGCACAATCTTCCTCAGCCTACTCAAGCTCAACTGATGAGGGGTGAATTCCCCGAAACACTGTGTATTGAGCAGGGAGTGGTGCTTTCTTGCAGGTTTGCCGAGTCGAAGGTTCGATGGACTTCTCGTGTGCTCTGGATGGCAGTCGTGAGTCAGTCAAGTGTCAAGTAAAGTCGGCGGAATAGCGCGAGCTCCGGTGTGGGGAGCAAACCATTTCTTACAAATAATAACGAAGGTACGTGTTGGGTCGTAAGTATCCACGCAAACACACATGCAGTGAAAATAAGGCACTTGTCAAAGTATCCGAACGTTTTCGGTCCCTTCTCATCAAGGATAATACAGGGAATGGCTCAAGTTGGAAAGACTAAAACTTATATAGCGTAAAGATATGAGATAACAACACTCGTGACAAGGAGGAAAAAGTATCAAGTTCAGCACGACACAAAACTCGAACGAAATAATAATAGCGACAAAAACATAGTGAGCAAATTAAGTTACATTGTTAACACCTCGACGAGGAGTAACACCAAACAATTGTAGCGC